CAATTTTTTCTGTGAACTACAGCGTTATTACTGAGTGCAGTGCGACATATCCCTGCTTAAAATGTTGGATAGAAAATGGTAGAAAAATTGTCTATTATATTTTATGGTGATTTTGATTCGTATATTTCACATCTCATTTACGAAATTTCGTAAGTGAATTTATATACCATGTATTGTCTATGATTGATAAATATAAACTGATTACACCAACTTTCATATTCAACATGATGGGAAAGAGTAGTATCATAAGATATGATTAAACTACATAGATATTCTTTTCATTTTTATCTGTCCATCATTATAAGTAGAATTATTATGAAGGAATATTATAAGGTTTATTATAAAATAACAATAAATACATAATGCGATATTTAGAGATGATTCTATGATTCAGAAATATCAATTTATTATACAAACATCAATATTCAAGATGATTGAAAAGAATGTATCATAAAATACAATTAAAATATATAGAAAGTCTATGTTGTACGGTTTCGGTGCATGATAAGTCGTATAAATCAATATAGGAATTCTATTTCAATTTTATCAAATCATTTTCTATCAAATATTTTAAGCAGGGATATTACGTGTGACACATTTGTGGAAATATGAAAATGCTCCGGGCATTGCATATTGTGATATTTAAGGCTCTGCTATTTCTGAAGCGACCATATTGGATTGATGACGTCAGAAGCGAGAAATGCCAAAAATAATTACGTTTTATTGTTTTATTTTTTATTTTTCCCTAGAACTAAATATTTTCCTAATCCTAAAACTTATGAAAAGTGCAGCAAACTCAGTATATATCTGGCTGATATATCACATAGCATCGTAAAATAATTCCTGAAATAATGGTACATTTTTTGGCTGTCACGGTGATTTGACAGCTGAGATACCAGCCTGTATGAACACATTTAATTTTTTGATTCTCATAATGTATCACCAGTATCACTGAGTTTGCTGCATATTTCACAGCTGTGAAGATCACGATAATATACACAATTCACGGAGAAACTGCAAAATAACGCGATAAAACGCAATTATTTTTCCGAGATGTCAAGCGAAGCCTAGCGTGATCCTGACCTAGTATTAGCCAATCAGCTATACTGACACGGTTATTTCGTGTTCTCGACACTGCTAGGCGCTACCGTCAACTCTGACTTTCTATGCGGAGATAGCAGAGCCTTAATGTGTACAAATAGTTTTTCAGTCATATCCGGCATTGAGTCACACAGTTGATTTCCTATCAAAACAAAGCGATTTGTCACATTTATTTTGTGATTATGTAAGAGTTATTTCGGCAAAAGAGAACTGCTCCAGAGTATTTCACAAGTATGCAGAATAGATTGCAAATGTTATTTGAATGTTATTTGATATAATTTTTATTTAACCATGGTTTGCAGAAATTTTGAGCATGATTTTCTTTGCTTCTGACATTATCAAATCAACATGGCCGCGGTGACCACCCAGGAACCTTAAATAGGGACCAACTTTACCTCGTCCGTCTGTGCTCGATTTCGATCATTTTATAAATGAATATTGTTTTTATTACCCGAAATAGTGTCATACACTTACAGGAAACTTCATTCTAATTATCTTATAACACTTAAATTTGTTCACTCACGATGAGGAATATTAATAAGAAATTTCGAGATACTTTTTTTTGAAAATGTATTTGACTGCTCCTAAATTAGTATTTAAAAGAGTTTACTTTTAACTGTAATGTTATTTCGATTTTAATGAAATTTTGTCAGAGAGAAGTATTTATTTTCTGAAAGAAATGTTTTGCAACTTCGTTTTCACTGTTTCTCTTACAAAAAATATATAAACAAGGCATATTTTTGGGTAAAGTCGGTTTCTCCTAGAAGTCAAAAGGTAAAAGTTCTTATTAATATTCTTCTCTCCTAGAAGAATATTAATAAGAAATTTCGAGATGCTTTTTTTTGAAAATGTATTTGACTGCTCCTAAATTAGTATTTAAAAGAGTTTACTTTTAACTGTAATGTTATTTCGATTTTAATGAAATTTTGTCAGAGAGAAGTATTTATTTTCTGAAAGAAATGTTTTGCAACTTCGTTTTCACTGTTTCTCTTACAAAAAATATATAAACAAGGCATATTTTTGGGTAAAGTCGGTTTCTCCTAGAAGTCAAAAGGTAAAAGAGTATACAACAAAAAAAAATTCTAAAATATAAAAGAAATAGATTGACGAATGGGAAACTGATCAAACGAATCGAATTCGTTCTCCCAGTCGATTCCGAAAAGGTCGCGTTTTGACGCCTGCAGTGAAAAACAAAAAGAAACCTCCTTCGCGAGGCACTGAATTCTTGAATACACTTAACCCGTGTTTTTCGACCCTCCCGCTGAAAGTTGCAGTCACGTACATGAATACAAAAAGTACTACTCGGTTTTATGAGACTCTGCATATATACGAGCACGTACAAGACGACGACGACGATGGCGACGACGACGAGGACGAGGACGAACGGCGACGGCGATAGGAGAAGAGGGAAAGTTTTGCACCCCGAAACTTTTATAATACACACAGTGCGGGGTCATAGATTTGAATTAATTCGGCGGCGAAGTTCCGCCGGGCAAATAAAAATAATTCACTGTATCAATTTAATATCGCTTTATGGTCGGCTCGTTTCCTCCTACCGCCGGCAGATTCTCCAATACACGCTTTCAGTAGCTAAGCTCTCGTTAAAAACATGCGAATTAGTATAAAAAGATTTTTTCCGTAATAAAAACTTTATATTCAGAGTTTTCATAAAGGATTATTTTAATCACTCAACGTCACAAAAAAATCCTCCTCCCATAAAAGTACCTTTTTTATTCCACCGCAAAGCTTTCACGTGCTCGCGTGTAATCACGATTACATTTTTCATGTCCCGTCTTTGTCGCGTTTCGCCGCAATAATTGTAAACAGAGTGTTAATTAGACTAACGTAACTATTCTCCCTGCATTTGGGAGCTCTCTCTTTGCTCTTTATTCAACGATCGTGATTTGAAGTAATTTTCTCTCTATTATCGATCATCGTTCACGCGTACGCCCTGATTTGCCACACCTGCCTGCTGCTAGCCTTGCGTGAGCTCCCTCGAGAAAGAGGAAGAAAAACGACCGGCGGATGGGAAGAAATCCCGGGTCGGTCCGTACCGCGGCTTCTTCCACATTATTACTTCAGCTCCTCCGCTCAAGAATTGGTCAAACAGTAACGACCGGAATTACTCTCGTCTCCCCTCGAAGCGGAGGCTTCGAGTGACGATGAGATCGCGCGTCGTCGAGCTTCGCGAGCGTGCGCGCGCAAACAGGACGTTATTAAAGCCGCCTTTATTACGGTCATTGCGCGACTCCAACTTCGTGCGAGTTACGCCGCTAAATTGATAATAATCCATCCAACACTTATGAATTGGCGGCGGCAGGAGGCGCGCAGAGGGATAGGGGAACTTGAGAGGGCGCGCGCGCCGTTATTAAGGTGTTCAACCGCGCTCGGAATTCAGCAATCGGATTAACGAAGATTAGAACGGCTATTAAACGAGACGGCGCTTTATGCTTATCATATGTTAGTTAAAGCGCCATTCGGAACTCGCGGCAACATCCTCTCGGATTAGCGCCTCCTGTAGACGCTCGAAAGTCGTCGCATATAACTCGCTCATCGTGTAGCTTGATCGCATTTGAAATTACACGAATAAAATATTGCAAAAATTATTAAAAAAATATATAGTAGAAGGATATGTTATTGATACAATTAAAACATAATTTATTCGGTACAAGCTTACTTAAAGAGCGCGTCAATGCTTACCTCATACCACATTCTCTACGTAACATAAAAGTGCTTTTAATTATTTTCACTACAATGGTTATGTAAACAATTATAACGTGTAAATAATTATGTAAACAAGATTTCGTAATCTTGGACAATACAGAAATTAAGACCAAAATTAATATATAAGGCAGACCGGGTCTAAAGAGTTGGTTCAAGGGGTTAACTATGTGGTTTGTATGTATTTATCATGAGAGAAACAGTGAAAACAAAATTACAAAATGTTTCTTTTAGAATATTTTTTTCTGAGTTGTTAAGATTGAAGTTATAGTTAAAAACAGGAAGGACTGATTTAGAGAAGTCAGGTACTTTCTCAAACGTTCCCAAATTTCGTATTAATCTTTCGAGTGCTAATTAGGATCATTCATGTCCAGACCATTTTTAGAAGTGCTTGTTTCTCGGAACTAGTTGATCCGCGTCTTTATCTCTCTCGAGCGGATGTGCTTTATTCTTACTGACTGCAGAATTGTTCAAATCGTGTATAGACACAAATAACTCTAGTTATTATTCGATGCATAACAAAATGTAAGTTCCTAGTTTCTTTTTTATTTAATTATCTGTTATATAATCTGTTATATAATAACTTTTATAAAAATGATTAAGAAAACTTATTATTGTTATGTAGAATGCGGTATGAGATAAACCTCAACATATTATTTAGATAAGTCTTTATCAAATAAATTAATTTAATTGTAATTAATCTAGCTGTTTTAACTGTATTAATGATGTATTTTTGTATAATTTTTTAATAATTTACATAAAAAGAAAATATCATTTTAATATAAAAAGGAATTTTATCTTATATACAAAATAATTCCTTTGTCTCGTGATTATGTTTTCTTCATTCTTTCAATATATTGACGATTTTCATTTCGAATAAAAATTTAATGGTAAGTTAAATGCTGTAAATATTGATATAAGCATAAATTAAAAAATATCTTTTTTATTGTAAAAATATTTTTTATAGATATTTTTTTATTTATGCCTATGTCAAATTACAGCACTTAACTTACCATTAAATTTTTACTCGAAACGTTTTTTTATCTCCTTTAATTTAAGAGTAATACACGAAAAAGTGGAATCGCCCTTTTTACTTTGAGAGTGTAAATCATATCTGTAAATAGCGATACAAATGGAATATACCGTTATTCATGTATTGATTTACTCTACATACTCACAAAAGTGTATCAAAATCAAAGAGTTCGGGTTCGCGGTGTTCCCTTGTGAGAATCCACTAGAATCCATCTGACGCTTTTGAGATCCAATTCAGTCATACTTTTTCCAGGGACAACATCTGGAATTGCGAATTCTGTTAAAGATAAATTTGTCATTGCAAATTGCTATAGTTTCACTTTTTACTTGTAGAATTCTAGAAAATATACTATTTGGCCCACGTATTTCTGGCTCATTTTTATCTTTTTAATAAAAATGATTATAATTACTATGCTGTTACATCCGGGAAGAACTCCAGTTCAATTATTCTTTCCTTTCTCTTTTGTTTTTTCTTTCAGAATTCGAGCGCACGACAGGGGAGGGAGGAGAGAAAAGGAGCGTTGGGAGTAACGCAAACGAGACAATTTTCCCCCACAACGACCCCACCGTGCGACGGTGCGCCGTGCGTAATTCGTTTACGCTTAATTCCTCATTGAGCAGGGCGAGTGTATTATTTCGTCGCGGTCCGGCGCGGGGACTCTATGTTTTCGTGCTCTCCCCGTCCCGCCCCGTCCGCCTTGCAGCGTTAGAGAGCCGGCCGCGCCGCCGTGGTACATTTTACGGCTGACTAGCGGGTAATGCCGGTAATTAACGTTTCTTTCGTGCGCTCTTTCGCTATCGCCGCTCCAAACCAGCTGCGCTCTCTCGCGCTGTGCGCGCTCGCGCGCACGCGCACGTCTCCGACTACTTGACGGCAGACAGATACACGCTGCGCCGCGCGTGTGGGTCGCGTATGTCACGTGTCACACACACACACACACACACACACACACACACATAAAAT